AAACACTTGTGGACACCAGCACCATGGGCTCAGACTATAAGTCGCAGGCGTTGACACGTCTAATTGAAGCCAACCGGCTGTTGAAGAACCTCCTCGAGTCACTCATGACCTCGGTATGACTTCTCTCTACCTAACTTTATTTCAAATCTTGTGAAACTTTTCTACCCACTCAGAGCTCTCATTTGTCCCCATCTAACAGAAGGAACCGCAATTAGCAACAGATCGTCCCTTCACCCTGGCCTCCTCGCCCCTCTTAACCGCCTTGTTGTCAATCCTCGTGGCCGATCGAAAGGCTCATGTTTCCCTCCTCTGCAATGCGTCCATAGAGCAAGGCTCGAAACTCGGCCTGCCACCACGGCCGCTCTCCGGTCCACAGCAGAAGAATATACCCACGCTGGCAGACTTTATTCGCTCCCTCACGGCCTATGTAGATGCTGAGGAGCAGGTTGGTTCAGTTTCGACGTCTTTTCCTTTTTCTGCATCCCTCCGCCTTCCCACATCCATTCTTCTTCGTTTTCCCTCATCCATATGCAACAGTTCTTCCAAGCGGAACAGACGTCGCGAGGAATGGGAAAAACCGTCTCCCTGTTTATGACTTTGATTTTTCTACTGGTTTCACGGTCGCGATAGAAGTATGAATTTCAGATTTATGATTCCCGCCAAGACGTAGACCGTTTGTACGAGACCAGTAAAAGGCATTTTAATCTTTAGCTAAGTAAATTTACGTAGTCCTCACGTGACTTGAACAGTTTTTAAAACTCAGAGATAACATCCGCACGCACTTCCTGACGGTAATGGCACGATAGTGGTTTTGAAATCACCGCTTCCATTTAATTAGGTTTACTGCGATTCACCTATACTGTAGCAGAAAGTTGTGCCTTTGTTGCATCCGGTTGTAAACTCCACCGATCTTACGTTATAGTACACTGCATCTGTCTTTCATAATTTTGTATTAATCGATAACTTACCTCTCCCAGCACGTCTGTCCCGGCACCCCCCTTTGTCTGCAATGATTAATTCCGTTTTGTGTAGAACTTGAGCGTAGTTTCCGTGGCCGTTTGTCATATTTTATTAAACTACCATATCATCGAGGTTTACAAACATTCCAGTCACATATTTTGCATCCCCTTTCTTGAAATAGTCAGTTTGGGAACCTTGGAGCGTTAATGTTAAATTATTCTTAAGGAATGATCTTAGGAAATGGTTTCTTTTTTTGTCACTCACTGTTTCATTTATTTGGACTCTTCTGTTACCCCTTGTTCTCATTTCCTGCCCAAACTTATGTCGACACGAACGCCTAATCGCAGCAGTGACATTTTGAGCGCGATCCGAACACATCTTCCACAATGTCTCTCTGGAATCAGAGTTATGTGCTTTTTAACACACAGTTACTTTAAAGACTAGCGAACTAGTCTACTTTGTCGTTCATCCCGTCATTATTAATCAGCTTTTTATTCTACTTTCACGTAACTGTTCTCTCTTTGTTGATTAGAGATGGAACACCCTCACCAGTGCAGTAGCGGCTGACCGACAGGAACTGGAGTCCGAGATTGAGTCAGCACGACAACGGGAGGAAACTCTAAAGTCGGAAGGTAATTTATTCCGAATTGTCCTCCACGATCCCCACCTTCACTGGTACATTCCTCTGGTAACCTCCTTGCATAAGTTACTTTGATGGTGGATCTGGGAATTTCTCTGAGGCACTACGTTCGTTCACCTAGCATTCAAAATTTATCCCCAATCCGAAATTCGAAATACCGTTTTTTTTCTGGAATTAATTTAATCAAGAAGAGATGACAAAATATGCTGAAATCGATGGCATCATAAATTTTGGAACCTTTTGCAAGACATCAAACGGTTATTTCATATTTGCATAACCAGATGTTCGATAAGAATAAAGTCTAGAGCAATAAAACGGCATAGGTACTTATTTGTACTTGTGTTTGGTATAGCTGTGCTCACGTCTGATCTAACCAGCCCCGATGAGATCATGTACTATACCTCTCAACGCGTGACGATTCGCGACTGAGACCGAATAAAAGAGGTCCATGGACACTTTCCGAGGATTGAGAAAGCCCTGCGAGCATCATTGATTTGGGAAACAATGTCACCCTTACCCTATCCATTCAGCAACAGCGTCGCCGCGAGGTATTTGAAGTTGTTCGCCTCTTTAAATTGACAGCCATTAATTCCAAATGATACCGTTTGGTCAGGAATGCAACCCGATAGCTGTCCTATTGACTGATGACTTTGGTGATGACCGCTGACCACTGCCGTCTTCGTCGGTTCTGGCTCTAAAACGGGGCCGAATTTCTGCGCGCGGGGTTTCGGCAATGCTGGGTTATCGAAGTTTTGTGACACCAAGGCACTTCGCAAGTTGCATGTTAGGTGCTTGTGGGAGGTGAACTTTTAGGCGTGTGCTAACTAGAACATGGTCAGACCCATGAGCATTGCCAGTTTAGGCACCACACCGATCTATTATCGTGAACCCAGCCGCGAAACCTTGAACCAACTAGAATGTAGTCTGACTGTATGAACTTTGTTTGAATACCAAGTAGACGTTTGTGGCGATTTTAAAGGCGCGTATTGGGGACATGCAGTCGATTTCGATCAGCAAAATTAAACATCCTGTCACCATTGTCGCACCGAGGGCCAAGTCCAGAACGGCCAGCCAGGTGACTTTCCGAAAAGTCGCCGAATCTAGTCCGCATATTCCAGTCCCGAAAACAATCAGCATATCATGGCGACGGAGTCTTTGAGATAATTCCTGTGGTTGCGAGTAGAAGGTCTCTTTATCGTGGCTTTCGGCAGCTGATATTGGTGCGCACACGGAGACGACAGAGATGTTCGTAAAGTGACCCTTCAGTTGCACGCAACCCATCCGGTCATTGACTGATTCCTATACAAATCGTGTACGGTTTGCTTGTTGCGAGAAGGCGGTCACCACACCGTATCTATCAGAAGAATCACGTAGGCCGCTGTCGTTCAGGGTGAAGCGCGAATCGACTCCCGGAATCTTTTTTCCCGAGAGCCTGAGTTGGAAATTTGGACTTCAGACAAGCAACATACCACGTTCTGATGAAGACTGTGCCGTCAGACTGGGTGTCAGGGTCCAGAAGCGTTTGCACATCCCGGCATCCAGTCTGTTCCTGGTTGAGTAATCCAGCTCGCATACTGTTCGTCCACACCACTGGGCCAGAGTTAGGGAGCCCGCGAACGCAGTAGCATTGATCATAATATTGTCATCAGGCATTTTTTTTATGAGGTTTTATGGAAATTATGAGCTCAGGCGGGTCCCAAACAACTGCTCGGTATGTTTATTCGAGGTCGTCTTCTCCAGCGCTTTGGCTCAAGAACCTAACCACAAGGCGGCGGTGGCAAGCAAGCTTATTTAATGGCGGCTCACCGTCTCCGTGCCTCAGTGCCGCCATCGGGATTTTACTAGGCAGTCGGCGTGTCAAACCTCAGCTCTCCACGCCCTGCATTGTCGCTGCAGGTCCACGACTGCCTATTCGCCAGACCCGAGAGCTTATCTGTTTCGCCGCTGACTTTCGCTGAACATTGCCCCACCATCCGCCGCCTGTGGACGCGCAGGATAGCCAGCAGCTAGGCTAACGGGTAACCCGTCGTCTCGGACCGGATAGGTGCGTCAACGACAGGATGCGGCTGGCCTAGTACGTAGATAGGGGGAGGACGGGACTTGGCGTGTGTGTGTGCGGGTCTGAATTACAGCGAGAACTCGTCAAGCATGGAACATTAACCAGCCACATGGTGAGGATTGTGAGGTTATCTTCGTCCTTGACAGTACTAGGTGGATCACGTGATTCAATTACGTTCACAGTCCTGACTTCCCCCCCATGGATAGGACATCCCAGTCGTCGCAATAAGTTAAACCCTAGATGCTGCCGTTCGATCCGCCACACACCCGGTGAGGCTTCGTAACTGGAGTTTCCTGCACCCTATTTCCCGCTCATAGCATCCATGGCTTATGACCTAGTTCCGGGGTCAGATAGCAAGCAAAGTGTGTCATTGCGATGTGTTCGAGTTTCTTCGCCGCTATGCGACGTTTTAGGATGCACACCGAAATATATGAAACTCATCATGGGCCAAGCTAGTTAGAGGGCTTGGATAAATGCCTTCAGCGAACGTAGGGGTGGGTTGGATAACCGTATAATCTCCGGCTATCTTACATGACTCGAATTATTTGATTGACGTTTACTCGGTGGCAGCTGCCACGCAGGCGAACAACAGTTCTGCGAAAGATGGACATTTCCAACCTCTGATCTAGCCAATTCAGATGGTGCGCTCGCGTCCTCTTGGATAGGCGCCTGGTCCTTGGACTAATAACCTGCTCCTCGGCAATAAGTGAAGATATAAATGCACATTGAAGATGCCTGTAGGAGCAGTCTACCCTTTACCGTCGAGGCGAAGAGGGGGAGCGCTTCAGAAAATTAATCCTGTGCATGCTGTAGCAGAGTTTGGGGGTTGTATTACACCAGCCGAGTTCCCAAAAGGCAGTGGAAAAAATAGTTCTTCCACTCCAACCGTCGGTAGACCTTCCGTGTATTTTGCTTGAAACTTTTCTGGTAAACTGTTTTTCTGCTGTGTTTCGTGTGAAAGCGAGTTCGCTTTCCGTCGTATCCGTAGTGTATATTTAATGGCCGTTCAAAGTCAAACAAGGAGTCGCCAAACTTATGATTTTATTAGGTTCTATTTGTTCTGCTACCTCTGGCTTGTCCAAGTCTTAAATTTGGAGCAGAATTAATTGACAGAATGTTGGCCGGATTTCTGAACCTGATTTGTTTGAACGCAATCCCCTGCCGGTCGCCCAAAAATAAGGCCAAAGGACATATTTTGCACGACGAATGCGTATAACTATAAAGCACGGTGTTTGTGAGCTTACTTTAGAACACCCGGAGTACGCTGGTTTTGTGTTATGATCCGATTGCCTCACTTATCTCTCCAATACTCTATCACTTGTCCAGTTGTCTTTGTGGTCATTTAGTGCCTTAATACGCCTGTTTAGTTTCTAGCTCACTTTTGGGGTTACACGTGGTTATGCCCTTTCATCTTATGTGTTTCAGCATCGAGCACTCTTTCTTTTGTCTTACTTTACTAGTAACACGGCTCTCGAAAGAGCTGACCGCTCGCGATGCAGTGCTTCTAGAGAAAGCAGCCTCAGTGGATAAACAACTGGCTGCCAGTCAGCGGGAACGGGACCTCCTCCGGACGAAATTGGAGGAGACAACGATGGAGTTCCAAAAGTTGACTGCCACTTTAGAGCAGACTCGGTGAGTGCCGTTTCTTCTTTTCTGTGTACGCATTTACATTCCGCGGAATGATACCTAAGCAGCGTATTTGGCGGCCACACGTTTGGCCTCCTAATTGCTGGTGTGCACATTGACTAAACTATGCAGATTTAATTACCGTGGTACGAAATACCAGCACACACGCATGTGACGACTGACATGTTTCTGCGGTTGGCCTCCCTCACACTAACAGCAGTTAAGAAGTGCTGTAGGGTGTGCCTGTTTGTCATTCCTAATGCAAGCATGTTCGGAGGAGCCAATGCTGACTGACTTGCCTGGGCAGAGTAATTAGTTATGCTGGCAACGCGTAGGTGAACACTATTCTCAGTGGCAGTACTACTAAACCACTTTGCCTAGTCATTATCATGCCAATCACAAGCATCGCGGGTGACAATTTGAGGCAGAGGATCTGGACACGAGCACTGCCCTCGTCTCGATTTTCGCTTATCTCGACAATTCTCCCCTGTCGTTTTTCTCGATGGCAAGATATTTTGTAGTTTGATGGACATCCTTGTGAGAGCCGTCCCTGGGGCAGGTATTAACCGGTGTGGCTGAGTCGAGCTCAGTGGCTCGTTTTTGGTATCAACTTTATGGCAATCACACTGATAGGGGACCCAAGCCCACATCCGGTCGTCCCGATACTGTCTTGCCATCGGAGCCTGATGGGCGAAAGAGCGCAAGTCTACTATCACTATAAATAAATTCACGCACTAGTCACCCTCCTACGCCCACTCCGTGGGGGCACACAGTGGACGTCGTTCTTTGCGGTGGTCAGACTATCAAGGTCATCCGGTGGCAGACGTCATTTCAGACCAACGAATATAGCTTGACGTTGAAGTCTGCGTTTTTGCGTGGATGTGACGCCTCAGACAGCGACTTATATATATATATATATATAACAGCTGGAAGGAAGAAGTGTTAGTATATCTGCATAAATGTCATTGAGGTTTCAGGGTTTTCCCGCAGACCAGCTCGGCTGCAGTACAACCGAATTCGAAATTTATGGTTAAACAGAGAGGCAGCGTCACCAGGGGTAAACTGTCGGACCAGCGGCTGAGTAAATCTGGAGCGCCAGTGGTATTTACAACTACGGACTGAAATTTTCGGCTAGCTCTCCGACTTAGAGTTCTTCATGCATCCTGCTTGAAGAAGTGCTGTGAGGTGGACTCAAATTGCGGACCATTCTTCGTCACCACTACATACGCCCCCAGTATGTTGTTTATGTTTGGCAACATTTTCGGCGGCGATGTGTGCAGTGGGCCCACCGACGGGACAACGAGTGGGTTGGTCCAAATGCC